TATATTTAATTTCAAGTTGAGGATACAATATGATTTATGAGTGCTTACATTCCGTATGATTCTTGACCATTCTAAACATGAAACTTGTATCCTTACAAATCGGTCTACATTTCTCATAGAGTAAGTTTTGTTTACAACTTGAACGTCAGTTAAGATATTTTAGAAATAGATCGTAATTTTTACAGAACCGCATTTTACGAGAATCACCCCTAAGTTGTAATAACAAGTATGAAGTTATTTCTTACATTAATAGCACAATATCAACAATACAAATATACACAAGCATGGTGAACTATCAGTTTCAACAATAGTCAAATTCGTGTCTTTTAGAAACTAAAAGAAAGAAAGATTCCATTATGTAAATGACAGATTTATCTATTTGCAAGAATTTGATAATATGAACGAAACTAATAGGGTTTGTCTATCTTTGTAGATTGTAAAATGACAGGCAGAAATGTATTTATTACCTGAAAGTTCTGATGAATTTCTCAAGGCCAGGTTTATAACAATGTGTTTCTGAGAAACTTCCAGTTGCCCAACTGCTTGAAATTACATGAGAGACTGGTCGATTACCTGTTCTAGTAGTAGTACAACAGTGCAACGAAATCAAACACTGAGAAACTGACCGACTATCTGTTCCAGTAGCAGTCCAACTATGCAATTAGATCAAACACTGAGAAACTGACTGACTATCTGTTCCAGTAGAAGTCCAACTGTGCAACTACATCAAACACTGAGAAACTGACCGACTATCTGTTCCAGTAGCAGTCCAACTATGCAATTAGATCAAACACTGAGAAACTGACTGACTATCTGTTCCAGTAGAAGTCCAACTGTGCAACTACATCAAACACTGAGAAACTGACCGACTATCTGTTCCAGTAGCAGTCCAACTGTGCAACTAGATCAAACACTGAGAAACTGACTGACTATCTGTTCCAGTAGAAGTCCAACTGTGCAACTAGATCAAATACTGAGAAACTGACCGACTATCTGTTCCAGTAGCAGTCCAACTGTGCAACTAGATCAAATACTGAGAAACTGACCGACTATCTGTTCCAGTAGCAGTCCAACTGTGCAACTAGATCAAATACTGAGAAACTGACCGACTACCTGTTCCAGTAGCAGTCCGTCTGTGCAACTAGATCAAACATCGACAGAGTGACTGACCATCTCTTCCAATAACAAAACGGTGCAACTAGACCAGATACCGACAGAATGACTGACCACGTGTTCTAATAATAAAATTGTGCAACTAGACCAAACACCGACAGAATGACTGACCACGTGTTCTAATAATAAAACTGTGCAACTAGACCAAACACCGACAGAATGACTGACCACGTGTTCTAATAATAAAACTGTGCAACTAGACCAAATACGTTTAGTTCATTAAAAATATACTAAAATGAAATGTTCACCTACTTCGAGTTTGTCTAAACATACACACACACACGCTTCAAGCTAGTCATACGCCATGTTTACTGACACCTGCTGTTACAGGTAAAGTAACTCAAAACCATATAAGAGTAACAGTCTTAAAAAACTAATTTTAAAAATGTTACATCAAATATATAATGATACTAATATTATAAAATAAAATAATATTTGTCCCTTCTATTATTCTCTTAGTGAATTACTCAATATACTCTTTTCTACTCATGGTTATTGAAGGGAGACACTAAATCAAACCTGTACAAGTTAAGACTAACTGAACAAGATAATTCTTATTTTTTATGAAAAGTAAATAACTATTTGAAATAAAAAATGTCAAATAATTGTAAAACAACAAATCAAGACTATTACAACACAAAACATCAAAATGAGCCAGATATTCGCATGCAAAATCCAAAAGACTCAAATGTTGACATATATTCTTATTCTAAGCTCAGGAGCCAAGTAAAGCTTTTACATGATAAAAAAAAGGAGAAGAAAAATAAAACATGCGAAATGAGGGGTGTTTTATTGTCTTTTTTTTTTCTGAGTCAGAAGTCCCACTCATCCACCTCAAAGTTATTTAGGAAAACGTCACTCACCAAAAACTCATGAAAACTGTGGTAAACTGATGAAATTTACAAGATACTGGGTTTTTATGAATGATGTACAGATACACGTCTGACAAGCTCATTCTAAGACGTTTCTCATGCAGCAAACAGCCATATGAAGATTAATTTTAGTGAGTCATGCATTTCTGTGTGACATCTTCCCACTACAGATGTATATATACACATATGACATGTATCCTGGCTCTGAACCAACGACAACTAGCTCCAGTTGTATAGGTGTGAAACTCGTAGTTTTATGTAAAGCCAAGGTTTTAGGTTACAGTAACAAGTTTAAAGGCCATGATGGATCAATCTATTATAAAATATTATTCATCAACACAACCTTGGATGTAAGTTTAGTGTGTCATCCTTGGCACAACCCACGAGGATATACGAACTGATGATGGATAATCCATGTCTTAACCATTTGAATGTCTGTGGTATAATATCTTCGAACTTGATCGCGTTGTTTTATGTAATGCATCATGCATTACATTCTACCCTCGTCCCGTGACAATATGTAATGCATGGTGAGTCATTTTAGGCCTTAAACACCTGATCGCATGTACCGCATAACGCATTCATCTCAATCACTTCTAGCGCAAGACGTTTGGCCTTAACCACATGGTCGTATGCACTACATAGATTATCATCTTCAAACGTAACCAAGTAAACGAATTATAAAAATCGTATCATTTAAGATCCTAACTACAAATACATAGGTACTGTTTGATATATCATGTAAATAGTGTTTTCTAATGAACAATCATTGGCTGGTAAAGAGGGCAACAAATGATCAGTTGCCCGAAATCAACAGTCAATAATACTTTTATTCTACCCTCCCATCTTCTGTTTCAATGTTTTAAAACTGAATAATTAGTACTATCACATAGTATATTTGTCCTATGTTTG